ACCAAATTGGGAAATTCAAAGTAATGAGTGGTATAATGAAATTTGGAGTATGGCAACAAATGATAAATTAACAATAGAAATTAAATTTAAGAAAGGGATGATTAAAGTAAATAATTATAATGAAATATGGGGGGATTTTATAAAAACAGTGTTGGTGGAAGGCAAAGGGAATAAACCTACTCAAGAATATATGTTGTTTTGGAGGCGTTAAGGGCACAATTGAAATATATTGTATATCTTTTAGTTGTAATAAGAAAAAAAAGGTCCCCGAGTGTGTGTATGTGCACTGTAATATTTGTATTTTCCCCTTTTTTGTATTTAGAATTATATGTATTATCTTTGTATTTGCATTCAAAATAAAAAAAAATTATTAAAAAATCACCTAGTATGACTTCTTGGATAGGAAAAAAGGGGGGTGGGAGAAAAAGAAAATTACAATTGTATACTGTAATCTTTATAACTTTGTTCTAAGGATCAGTTATTGAATAGCATCTATATTCTTTATTAGTATTTGAAACTGGTTCAGCATACCCATCAATATATTCCTATTTAGGAATCTGGGAGACTTTATAAAAAAGCATTAAATCTCACCTTTGTAATTCGCATCATTTACAGAATGATTTATCTAGCAAGAATTTTTGTCTGCTGTCAAATCACTTCCTCATTGAAACAGCTTGTTAACAGCACAGAATATTAACAATAAATTATTATTGAAATGAATAAGTTGCTCAGTTCCAAAAGTCTCTAAATAGCTAGCAACATGATTCCATTTGGTAAGAAATTTCCAACATTAACATTAAATTTATGAAATATAAATAGAAGTCTAAATGTTCACTACATATGAAATTTAGAGATTAAATATTTACATATTCAGTTTAAAAATATTCAGGGTGACATTAAGAATAAGAGTTACCTTCTTCTCTCCTAGCTACAACAGGGCTGGGAGGAGCACCAAAACCTTATCAGAGGAAAGCAGAAAAGTACTATATAACATGTAAGCAACATACTAGATTAAGAAAACGCAAAAATAAAGAGAATTGCAAGGCTTTTTAATAAGACGATTAATACATGTTTTTAATTACAATAGTTACATTGCATATTATTGTAATGCTCAGTAAAAAAATAAAAGCTGACATATCACTCTTAGATAACACAAATAGCTAGCTGCAAATACCAATTTACCACTTCCATAGACCTTAGGAGGAAATGGTCACCCCCCACAACTAGGGGAAACAAATGTGTGTTGTTTGCCCTAGAAGGGCTGAGCTGAGGCCACCAAGTGCTTGGATAAGTGTAGACAAGAGTAGTTGGGTCCCTTGAGAGATGGGATAGGTTGTAGTGTTGGTTATGCATGTGTGAATGTGAATGGCCTTGTGAAAGGAGGTGAGTGGGTAGACAGGAACATCAGGATGGTGATGGGAATACAGGATCCAGAATTTGCAAGTGGTCTTTCTGTCTGACAGCAACACATTCAAACTTTGGTCCCTGGTTATCAGAACCCTGAGTTCTGCTGTTGTTTTTGAATGTCAGATTGGTTTGTAATAAGGTTACCCTCATCTGTAATCTTATAATAGATGAGAGTGCCAAACTGACATGCTAACCAAAATCTGGATGGGCCTGAAAGAGGGTGTCCCTCTATCACAGGGGTGTCAAACTCAAGGCCCAGGGGCCAGATCTGGCCTGCAGGGTGCTTAGATCTGGCCTGTGGGGCCACCCTGGAAACAGCAAAGGACTGGCCCACGGTGCCTCTGCCAGGAAAAATGGAGCTCGGGAGGGCCGCACAGTCCTCCTGAGCTCCATTTTCACTGGCAGAAGGTTGCAAGAGGCCGTCGCAGCTGAAAACTGAGCTCGTAAGGGCTAGGTGCAGCTCTTCTGAGCTCCATTTTTGCTAGCAGAGAGTTGCAGAATGCCATTGCAGCCTAAATGGAATTCAGGAGTTTGTTTTCGCTGGCGCCAGCCTGACACGAGTGGTCAAGCTGGTCACACCCACCCTGATCAGCCCCCCCCCCCCAGTCAAACACAACTCTGATGCGACCCTCAATGAAATAGTTTGACACCCCTGCTCTATCAGAATTATGCCAGCTGGGTTTTGGTTTATGATTATACATCAGCTGAGATTCTAGTGGAGGTGAATGGAGAGGGAGTCGCCATCTCTGTTTTACAGATTTAGGTTTTGTTGAT